TAGAGCAAATTCTCCCGTAACACACACAGTGCGGCCCCAAGTGTTGCCTTTCGTATCTGCGGCACTGGCACGGCCACCGTCTTTCTTTCTTTTTTTATCTCGAGTTTTTATTTCTACATTCTATTTATTTATTTACTTATTTTTTATTTCAGCATATTATGGGGGTACAAATGTTAAGGTTATGTATATTGCCCATGCCCCCCTCCCGCCTCGAGTCAGAGCTTCAAGCTTAAAACTGAGATATAGACAATCACCATGGTATCCATTGCATCATAATTTAGTTTTTAAAGGGTAAAGTTTTTTTAATTTCAGCATATTATGGGGGTACAGATTTTAAGGTTTCAAATAATGCCTTTGCTCCCCCTCCCCCCACAAGTCTGAGCTTCAAGTGTGACCATCCCCCAGATGGTGCACATCTCACTCGTTTTCCATTCTTGGGATACTTCACTTAGTAGTATGGGTTCCAGCTCTATCCAGGAAAATACAAGAGGTGCTATATCACCATTGTTTCTTAGAGCTGAATAGTACTCCATGGTCTACATATCCACATTTTATAATCCACTCATGAATCGATGGGCACTTGGGTTGTTTCCACAGCTTTGCAATTATGAATTGTGCTGCTATAAACATTCGAGTGCAGGTGTCTTTTTTGTAGAGTGTCATTTGATCTTTTGGGTAGATGCCAGTAATGGGATTGCTGGATCAAATGATAGATCTTCTTGTATCGCTTTAAGGTATCTCCATATTGCTTTCCACAGAGGTTGACCTAATTTGCAGTCCCACCAGCAGTGTAGGAGTGTTCCTATCTCTCCCCATCCATGCCAATATCTATCATTTGGGGACTTTTTAATAAAGGCCATTCTTACTGGAAATAAGTGATATCTCATTGTGGTTTTGATGTGCATTTCTCTGATGATTAGAGATGTTGAACAGTTTTTCATATGTTTGTTAGCCATTATTCTGTCGTCTTTGAAAAGTTTCTGTTTATGTCCTTTGCCCACTTTTTGATAGGGTTGTTTGATTTTTTCTTGCTGATTTTCATGAGTTCTAAGTATATTCTAGTTATCAGCCCCTTATCAGTTGTGTAGGATGTGAAAATTTTCTCCCCATTCTGTAGGTTGTCTGTTTGCTTTCATGACTGTTTCTTTGGCTGTGCAGAAGCTTTTTAGTTTGATCAGGTCCCATTTATTTATTTTTGTTGCTGATGTGATTGCCTTTGGGGTCGTCTTCATAAATTCTTTACATCTTCTACAAGGTCCTCTGGGTGTCTGTCATTTTAGTAGGAGAAGGAAATATTCATGGTTGGTGTGGTTACTTTATTCCCCAGAGAAGAGAATAACTCTCAGCAGGATGGAAGGAAGAACTCAGGCAAAGCTTTAATGGTCCTTTTCATTTACATTTCTACCAATCACTCATTTAGGTTTGAGTCCTTGGTTATGAGATCAAATAAAAAACAAAAGACACAAGGGGAGCATGATTTGTGTAAGTCTTTTTTATTTAGTTCAGAGTGTCACATATATATCAACATCAATGATTTGTCCGACAACTTTAGTTAAGCCACTGCTCTGGAGGGTCCAAGAAATGACCCTCTGATATTTAAGAGTCCCTTAATCAATCCAGCCCACAGGATGCTTGTGGTTCCTTGTCCTCTGCCTTTCCTCTCCCAGAGCTGTCCCCAGTGGGCTGGTGGGTACGCAGTCAATGATGGTGCTCTGGGGACTTCAGTTGGTGACTCCCTTGAGGCCAACAGTAATAGCTGGTTCCTCCTGATGAGCCTGGCGTGGAGCAGGGTCTGGTCCTGAGCTACTACACTGCAGCTCCACAGCTGGCCACTGCCAGTAGTGATGGCAACTGCCACTAAGGATGCTGGGTGATCCCGTAATCCCATTACCCCAGCTCCAGTCGTGAATGACTTCAGTATCTTCACCCATAAAATGTTGGTGGGACCTCCAGATGGTTATGATAACCTCAAACACTCCATGCCTTAGAAATGTGAATTAGCCTCTTAGGTTGAAATTTTATCAAACTCGCACACAGTATTGGAGAATTTGACAACACTTAAGATTCACTTTACTTGTAGATTTAATTTATTAGATCTATTAGAAGTAATTAAATGCATGGGAAGATTTGTGCATTATCAGACAATTGTGGTTCTTAAAAAGGAAACTGTTGATATTAGTAAACATTAATAAGTAAAATAAATATGGTTTAAATTGTTTAATTAAATTGGTAAGTGGGACTGAACATTAATCAAAGGGGCCATTAAAAGTGATCTTTAAAAAATCTCCTTTTGTTAGGGATGCATATTAAAATATTTATAGGTGAAATGAAATTTGCTTTAAAATACCCTCATGGGGAAAATATGAAAATATGAGGAGACCAGATGAAATTAAACAGACAAAATGTTAATAATTGTTGGAGCTAGGTGATGAATATGTGAGATTTATATCTTAGTCTTTCTATGTTTAAGTATGTTTAAAATTCTCAAATAAAAATTTCAAGGAAAGTGATTTATTAAAATTTTCTTTAAAGAACTTTGAAGTTCACAGAATCTTTACAGCCTTCTCATATTCTTTTTGTCTTGTATATATATATATAGCTCTTACAGATGCTACTTAATTGGCCGTAGCCTGTTTTTCATGGTTTTGTGTGATTCTGTGGTCACAATTCTAAGGTCTTTTCAAGGAGACAGGATTCGTGATGCCATCATATCCTTTAAGCCACACCACTTCTAAGATACTAACCCCTGCAATCAGTTATCTTTTTAGTAAGTGCACTGTACTTTTCTAGCCATATGGTAGAACTGTTGAAGGCAGGGATTTGAGAAAATAACCGTTGGCACCTCCATCCTAAGCATAAGCAACCCCACATAAGCTGTAAGTTATGGATTAATATTTATGGTTTTATTAATACTTTATATCTTTCTCTGTGTCTCTGTCTACATATTTTCTTATCCCTAATTTTCTGTTGTTTTTCCTTCATACTAAATACATGTTTGTTGATGATGGTGATGCATGATGCCTTAGGCATAACGTGTTTAAGGGCTTGTCTACAGGGGTTTGACTCCCTGTGTGAAAATTGTGTAAACTTCCTAATCCTCAGTTCCTCATTCATAAAATGGGGTGATTATATTAATAATGGTGCTAACCTCATAGAGTTGCAGTGAGGATGAATTAATGTGTGGATAAAAAAAATAAGTGCTCCATTATACATTTTAGCTATTATTTTTAGCCAAAAAATTATTTATAGCGCTCCTCTTAATAACAATTCACTGTCTTTCATTTTGAATGTAGAGCCTTTATTTGAAAATATATTATTAATATTATTATATTAAAATATTCTGTATTGGAATTTTAAAATAGTCTTTTGTCCTGGTGTTTGGATTTTTAGTTCACATGTTCATCTTACTCCTTTTCTTATACTATGAATTAGCTAGACTCTTCTGGACTGTTTAAAATCATGTGAGGGAGAGTAGGATTGAAAATGAATGCCTCCTCACTCACAATCTGTAATTTATACTAGTTTGGCAGGTAATCAAAGCTCTGGCGAATCATCTCTCTTCTAATACTATTAATTTATTTTTGCAAATCTCAGATTCATGTGCTAATGATAGCCTTTCAAAGCTAACAATTTAGAAAGACAAGTTTTTATGTAGTTAAAACCATCTTAGAAATAAATAAAGTGTTATAGTATGATAAGTATGTAGGAAAAAATTTCAGATTAGAATTATCTTCAAAGTACTGATAGTTCTGTCACTCAAATAATATAATGAAGGACAACTTTTATTTCTCTATCTTGTGTCTTATATTTTCCAAATTTTCTTTACCATTTCCCACTTTAAAATGAGAAACATATTAGCATGTTATTTTTTAAACTTGTCTCTTGAGGGGCTTTGTTTTCAAAACTAATGAAAAATTCTGGAATTTATTTAACGCTTTTTAGCTGCACAGGTGTTCCGGTAGATTTATATCCTTATTTCCTCTTCACATATGTGTGGTTATGCTACAGTCCAACAAAATCACCATGGGATCCTTGCCTCATAGAGAATTTAGAGTTGGATTTGTGACTCAAATAAGTATGAAAAATATATTAATGTGCTGAGCATTATATGTGCCTCTCTTTATCTTTAAAATGAGGGGACAGGGCATAGAATTAACCCAGATGGGCTTTTTAGCTCTAAAATATTATAAATTAAAAATTTTAATACTTGGATATTTTCCTAGTGCTTTTTATAGAGCTATTGTGGTGACCAAGGGAATGTGGCCACCATCTCAGTTAGCTCAAGCGGAACATTGTAAATTCTTATGTCAGAAGACTGTCATGCAGACAGTGATATCCAGTCTCAGCTTCTGAAGGTTCGGATTAGTATTTCAAGATAAAACACACACTTAGTGCTGAAGAAAAGTGTGCCTTTGCAATAAAGATTTTTGCAAAGTAAATTATTTTTGAGCTATAATTCTCAACTGGTTTTTTTTTTTTTTTTTTTTTTTTTTTTTTTTTGAGACAGAGTCTCACTTTGTTGCCCAGGCTAGGGTGAGTGCCGTGGCGGCAGCCTAGCTCACAGCAACCTCAAACTCCTGGGCTCAAGCAATCCTTCTGCCTCAGCCTCCCGAGTAGCTGGGACTACAGGCATGCGCCACCATGCCCCACTAATTTTTTCTATATATATTAGTTGGCCAATTAGTTTCTTTCTATTTATAGTAGAGACGGGGCTCTCGCTCTTGCTCAGGCTGGTTTCGAACTCCTGACCTTGAGCAATCAGCCCGCCTCAACCTCCCAGAGTGCTTACAGGCATAAGCCACCATGCCTGGCCTAATTCCCAACTGTTATGGTTGTTTCTAAGCTCTCATAATTTATAAAACTAAATTAGATCAAGGAGTGGCTGGGAGAGTTTAGCTGAAGGCTGCTGCTTTCGTTGGGTGGGTACCAGTTGAGTCCATCAATTTATGGGGTGGTTTGGAATAGCATGCTTTATAAAATATACATCTTATTTTATTCAGGTTATACTGGAGAGCTTTGCCAATCCAAGATTGATTATTGCATCCTAGACCCATGCAGAAATGGAGCAACGTGCATTTCTAGCCTCAGTGGATTCACCTGCCAGTGTCCAGAAGGTAACTATAATTCTTTACTGCAGGAACACCTTTTGCTTTCCATTTTAAACCATCAACTAATTTGGTTAGCTCTGTACTTTAAATTTATGAAAAACTCCACTAGTTCTGAAAACTTCCTATTTTGTTCCATTAATAAAACAAAACCAGAAAATGTTTCCCTTTCTTTTTTGGGCTCTATGGTATAGTAGCTTGAAAATTATGTTCAAATATTAGACATAATCTAGGAATTTCTGTGATTTTTATTTATACATTTTAAAGAAATAGCTATAATAAAATGGAATCTCTTTCTAATGGTGAAATTTTACTTGTTCAAATTCCTGTTTTGTTAAGTTATTTGGTTTTCGATAAGAGTTCGCATTGAAAAATTCAACATAAAGTTCATCTACTTTTGATTTTAAATTGTTACCAAAAGCTCAGCACTTGTTCCTGAGGCCACGTCGGTAGAACGAGAACAAGTGGTTTGAGGAGAAGGAAAGAGAAGTTTGTTACTTTGCCGGCAAAGGAAGGAAAATGGTAGGCCTTCTCATTTCAAAATCCAAATTTCCTGAACATAAGCAGAACTACAGAGCCTTTAAAAGGAGTGTGCCCTCGGTTCTAGGCTACTGTGCCAATGATTCTAATCATCCCGTCTCTGCCAAAGACAAAGCCCCACCTGGGCCCACCCAGGCGCTGGCCTGGGAGAGCTGAGCTACCTATCTCCTGTAACCTGAAGAACAAAAGACCTTCTGCCTGCCTCCGAGGTGCAGGCCAGGCTGGAGTTCCCACAAAGAATGGGGGAAATTGTAAAGAGCTGTTTTTTCCGGCTATTCCCTCGGTTGCATATTCCCCACTCTCAATTTTATGCTTCCATAACTATGGGAGGAGGGGTCACTGTTCTGTTACGTAGTGAACCGTATAATGTCTTAGAAAATTCAAGTCACTTTTGCTTTTATTTAAAAAACAAACAAACAAACAAACAAAAAAAAACCAGTTTTATTGTTGGCATAGTTTTACCGGAAGAAGCAGGCAGATAATCACAGCTCTCAAGCCAGTGTTCAAGGAATTATTTTGTACTTTGAGGAAGTTAGTTCTCATTTCTGCTTGAGGGGCTGTTATGGAAGGGATTACTTTAAATCTTTATTATTGTAAGACTAACATGATATTAGAGGTTTTTTAAAGCTTCCTGATGCACAGAAGTGACACTGACAGCTACATAGAGTCACATCCTCCACAGAGATGACTTGTGGAGCCCCTGTGCCTGAGGAAACATCTCTGTACTCAGTTTCCCCAGACTGCCTGAAGCCGAGAGCTGGGGCAGGGCGGTGGGGCCGGATGGGGGCTGACCACCCCAGTGCTGGGGGCCCCAGGAGCTGCCCTTGTGATTGGCAGCGCCTCACACTCCCTCATATTTTGAAGGAGGGGACATCAAGCAGATTCTTGTCTCCCTGCTCACCTGGGCAAGGCAGGGGCGGGGCGGGCTGGCTGTGGCTCACCTGGCTTCCCCGCTGCCCCGCTGTGCGTGCTGGGGAAGAGTTCAGCGTGCTTGTTGAGTCTCTCTTCACCCTCCTCTCCTCCTTTTGCCAAGCAGGCTCGGCTCTCTTAAACAAGTGGGGAAAGTTGGAAGCGTTGCTGAGGGCTGGTGGCTGAGGGCACAGCACCAATCCTCGCTCACGTGTAGAGCACTAAAGCTCTGTCACAGCCTCCGTGAGTCAGTTGCCACCTAACTCTGGCTGGAGGCTTCGCTGTTCAGTCAAGGGTGGGCTTCAGGGTCGTTCTGGGATCAAACGGGAATTTTGTGAAAGAGCTTTAGGAACTCCAAAGCGACTTATTATTATGGCTGTGTTTGTTACCAGAAAGTTACAGTGAGACCCCAGAGGCTCAGAGAGGGGCTAATTTGCACAAAATAACACTGGTAATAAAAGATGGCCCTTGAACTGGAGCCTAGGATTTTTGCTGTCACGCACACTTCCATTTCCTATCTTCGATAAGGATTCACTGGGCACTTCCTGTGCACCAGGCACCGTGCTGGGTGCTGGGTGTAATGCCGAGTGAAGGTGGCCCCTCCCGTGGTGCACACACAGACAGGCATGTGGTTCGTGCAGGAATAGGTGCCTTGAGGGTGTGCAGAAGGGCTCTGCGTGGCCTTGGGGTGTTGGGAGAGACACCCACATGCAAAGACCCTGACAGAGGAGAGGGAGGGCATGACTGAGCTAAGAGGATGAGGAGGGTGGTGCTGACGGCAGGTGGAAGCGTGCAGGGCGAGGCTTGTAGAGCGGGGCCTTTCGTCCTCATCCTAGAGGGGAGGAAGTCAGAGCTGAGGTCTGAAGCCTGCCTGGTTCCACCACTTCTCACCAGCTTTGTCCCAGGGGCAGGTGACGTCACACCTCCCTCTGTCTTGGCGTTTGAATTTGTAAAATGGGGGCGATGATGATGCCCAGCCCATATGCTTGGCACGGTACCTGGCTAAGTGCTCAGTTAATATTAGCTGCTTTACCATTATTGCTTCCATAATAACAATTACTATTAAACCACTGATACATTAAAACAGGGGAATGTGAACTTTCCATTCTGGAACAAGGTTGCACATAATTTGGAGAGAGACAAGCGTGGGAATAGGAGGAGTCTGGGGGCTGTTGCAGGGGTCTAGGAAGTAGACGTTGGCTGCTGGGGAGAGAAAGTAGAATCTGAAAAAGAGAGAAGCTGACGGATTTGGGAGAACTTTGGAGGCAACGTGGAGGGTGCCTGGAGGAGGTTGGGATGTGGAGGGTCAGGCAGCAAGTTCATGGCTTCTGCCACTTGGTAGTTGGTTGTGCCGTTCGTGGGGAAGCAGAAAAATAGAGGAGACGTGTTCAGTTTGGGGCATGTTGGGTTTGAGAGACCCCTGCGACATTCAAGAGAAGAAGTCAACTGTTTGGGCAGTCACTGTTTGAATCTGGAAGAAGCCTGGGCCCAGTGTAAACACAGAGACATTGGCCTACAGATCAATGGGACCGTCTGAGGACACTCCTTTCCAGTGGCTTGTCAGTCCCTCCATGCCGCCTGCATAAAGCCTGGAGAAAATGCGGCGCTCTAGAAGTGAAAAGACGAAGATGGCTCTCTCAGTGTGAGGACTCTCATTCAGAGGTTTGTCTTCACTGAAGTCTGACCAGGGAAAGGGCTGTAAGGAAAGTTTAGAGAAGAACTCACGGCAGTGCCTTGAAGCCACTTAGCAGGAGCATGTCGCATTTTCAAAGCAGCTCCTCCCACTGGCTCATTCTTAGAGTGCTCGTTTTCACGGATTGGCAGAAAGTAGTATTTATAGAGCACTTTGCACTTTGAGAAGAGCCTGTGTCTCCAGAATCCTTCTCACTGCAGCCACAGTGTGAAAGCGCGTCTCACAGCCACAAGGTGCCCTGGAGTCCCGGGCCCGCCCTCGCCCCTTGCCCGCCTCCTTGCCAGTTCGCCTTCGCACCTTTGCGTTGATTTTTTCTGTCCTGCTTCCTTGTGTTGGTCTTTGAGGGAAGGAAATGTGTTTTATTTATCTTGCCCTGCCTACTCTCCCACACCTACTCATGGATCATGTTTTATGTTAGCTGGAGGGTTAATTAATATTTGGCAAAGAATTTAACTCTAAAAGTCAACACTTAGACATCACTTACTATGTCTGGTAACTAACTGTTGTGATTCTCACAACAACCCTATGAAGCAAGCACTATTAATATTTCCATTTAACAGGTTGGAAAACGGAGTTACAAGAGTAAACGACTTGCCTGGGGTCACATGGCCAGAAATGGAAACCCAGGCAGCTTGGCTCCCGTGATCCTAACACTGTCCTATACTATCTCTGAAAATATTCTTTAAAAGGAATCCCACAAGGTTTATTTGTAAAGATTATCTTTGTCACCATAATTATGAGTAAAATACGTGCGAAGAAAACTTCTGAATGTCTCTGCTATTTAAATTCTGAAGTCTGGAAAAAGTGAGAAATTTTTTTTCCAGTAAGTATAGTGAAATCCTTTTACAGTAATCCCTTGTAGGCTAGAAAGCTGTTAAAACTGGGTTTTCCCCCTGGATAGCGCTTTCAACGTCACCGTCCATGGCCTTCCTCTTTTCTACCCTTGCATCTTCATCTTGTTTCCCTCAAGGATCCTTTTCCTTGTGGTCTGGGCCAGGTCCTCAGAGGTTGGATTCCCGCCTGGGTGCCGGCTCTTTGGCCCCTGCCCTTGCCCAAAGTTGCGAGGAGAGCTCAGACCTCACCTGCGTGCTCCTTCGGGACGCATCTGCGCTGCTTCTACGCTGGGATCTTTACCTTTCATCGGCGGGCTCCGTCTTTTCTTTGAATTTCTACTTAACTTTTACTAGTTTCATTTTGGAAAAGTGTAATTTCAGATTCTAGTTACAGTGGGGACAGTAGGGACGACGAGAAATAAAAGGAAAACTATCATGAGTGTTTGCTCTTATCTACCTTACTGGGTAACGGCAACACCAAAGAGAGCCAACTGGAACTCGGCATTATTGCTTTTGAGTTTATTTTTTACCCTGAGATTGTCTTTATGTTTGTTTGAGAACATTGAGATCCTTAAAAATTTTAAAACTAAATGCATTTTAATTCTGAAGATGTCTAATTGTATATACTTAACAATCACTGCATATTGGAATTTAAATATATGAATATATTGAGATACAAACACAAATAAAATGCGAATAGTACTATCTTTACATCAGCATCTCAATTTTTATTCCCCTCCCCTTGGGATTTGAAGTAGAATACCACATAAACTAATAACAAATAAAAAGAAATCGATAGTGATTAAAGCACTCAGCAGTAACGGGCATCTGTTGGTTCTGCAGGTGTGACAATTCACATCCTGCAGAGCACACCTGATAGAATGAAATCACCTTCCTGGCATCTACCTATTACAGGAGGCATATGGCAGTCAGAGAGCAAAGTAAGAATATGGGGCTTTGTGTACTATTTTTAGAAAATATTATTTTATCCAATGCATTTTAAAAACATTAATGTAAAGATATCTTCTTCTGTT